AAAATAAGTAAAAATAATAAAAGTAAAAAAAAATAAACCACTGGGTCTGGGACTCGAACCACAGTTGACTACGTGGGAAGCTAGGAATGTAACCATTACACCATCTGCTGGTCCTGCAATGTTCTTATTTCTGTAAATGGTACCATTATTCACATTCATGCTAGAATCCTGAGATTCATCCTTTAACACTTCTCTTCCTCTCACTCTCTACACATAAAGTGATTCCTATCGATTTTACCTCTAAAAACATCTGTCCACTTCTTTCCACTTATACCCCCACCATACTCTGGCTTTTACTACTGAGGAACAGTCTCCTGACTGGTCTCTCTGCTTCCATGCAAATGGTGACATCTCAACATAAAATCCTTCATATTCTTTCCATTTTTAAAATCTAAAAATATAGGTTTGCATGGCTTGTAAGATCCTGACAGATCTGGTTCTTATCTGTCTCACTTTTGTGCCCAAGCCCATTTCCTGGTACCCTGACTTTCTTTCATTTCAAAGAAAGTATTGAGCTACTTCTCAACTTGGGTCCTTGTGGATCCCTTTACCTAGAATATTCTTTTCTCCCCCATTTAAACCTATCTTTTACGTAACCCTTCCAGTCTCAATTTAAGTATCATTTATTCAGGGAGGCCTTCCCTGACCAACTGCTTAGTTACCCCTCTTCTATAAATTTGTCATACTTCTCCTTGACAACCTTTACCAAAACTACAATTACTTAAGTAACTGTACGTTATCTGTTTAAAGTCTGTTTCCTGCATTATAATCCATAAAGTATCACAGCTGTGATGCTTTCTGCTATATCCCTAGAGCCAAGCACGGTGCCTGGCACATAAAAGGTATTCATACATTTTTCTACCTTGCTAAAGGGGACCTACACTCGCTGGAGAGAGAGAGAGAAAGAGTGAGCACGTGCAAAAGAGCACAGCCCAGGGTGGGGGAGGCCTACGGGGAAATTCTTCCACCTCCATTCTCCTCTCAGGATTTTGGGCACATACACACGTGCACCCGGCATATTTTTCAGGCTGCTGGGTACAGGACTTAAACCGAGCAGTTGGCCATGTGGGATCCAGCTGCCTTAACCACCATGCAGCAGCTGGCCCAAAAGGTATTCATATTTTTTTATAATTATTTATTTTATTTGATTTTATTCATTTATTTTTTAGTTTGACCAGAGAGAGACAGAGGGCTAGAGTGAGAGAGAGAGGAAGTGAGAAAGCAAGCCACTAGATTCAGGACTTGAACCCTAGTCAGCCATGTGGGAATGTCCAGCACCTTAACCACCACGCCACCTGCTGGTCCCCAAGGTATTCATATTTTTATGGAATGAATCAAGCACAGATGCAAGAACAAGAGCAGGAGCAGCAACACTGCCTATGTTGTTCTCTATCGCATCTGTAGCACATCTAACAGTGCCTGGCAAATAGAATATACTCACCAGATATCTGTTGACTAATGACTAAATGACAGAGGTTTAATCTCAGGAAATTAGTACAATAAAGTCCATTAATAGGTCAAATAAGGAAGAACAATATAATCACCTCCATAAAAACTAAAAACTCACTTGGTATAATTTAGAATACAATCATGATTTTAAAAAATATCCAAACTAGAAATAAATTCAGTTCCTTACCATGGTTTAAAAAAACAATGTGTCAAATCAACAAGCAATAATGCCCTTAACAGTGAAACACAACTCACTGAGGCATTCTCACTGGAATCAGGGAGCTACATACAGATCACAGTCATTATTTAACAGTGTTTGGGACCACTGCTCCCAAAATTCTCATCAGGGTAGTTAAGACATGAGGCAAACTAATAGTTATAGCTACTAGACAAAATTATTACCTGCAGATGATTAAGACTATCTATCAAAACAAAAAATATTACAAATAAATATCATGGGGGCCAGCAGGTGGCATGGTGGTTAAGGTGCTGGACACTCCCACATGGTGGACCACAGTTTGACTCCCAGATCTAGTGGCTCGCTTTCTCACTTTCTCTGTGTGTGTGTGTATGTGCGTGTGTCTCTCTTTGGTCAAATTAAAATAAAATGAATGGGCGCGTGTGCGTGCGTGCCCAAGATCCCGAGAGGCGAATGGAAGAGAAGGGATTGCAGTGTGGCCATCCCCCCTGGGGGGGTGATTTCTCGCTTTCTGTCTCTCGGTCTGTCTGTCTGTCTTTCTGGTGAGCACATGTGCCCTATAGCAAAAACCTCTCCCCCCAAAAAAAACCCAAATAATAATAAATAAAATGAATGAATAGATAAAATTAAATACATAATTCTTTAAAATAAATAAATATGAAGTGGATGAATAAAAGAGAGCTACAACACAATGAATGCTCTATATATAAGTAATAAGGAATTAGACACTAACAGAAAAAAAAAGTACAACTCACAATAGCAGCAAACATATTAAATCCACCATGAAATACTTAACCTAAAAACATATGATACATGCAAAGAAACCACAAAGTTGTACAAATAAAAAAGAGGATCAGATCAGGACCAGCACATGGCATAATGGTTATGTCACTGGATTCTCACATGGTCGACGGTGGTTCAATTCCTGGACCCGGTGGCTTAAAACTCACACCAGGCGTGTGCGTGTGCATGCTCAAAATCCTGAGAAGAATGAAGGAGAAGGGACTGCAGTGTGGCCACCTCCATGGGTGTGATTTCTCACTTTCTGTCTTTCTGGCGAGCACATGTACCACATAGCAAAAATCTCTCTTAAAAAAAGGACTGGAATGGAGATAGACCACATTCCTTAACTGTAACTGAATTTCATAAAGAAGTTAATTTAATAAAATATAGCACATACCTACAGTGAAACAAGGTAATTAAAAATCACATTTTTAAATAATTTGAAATGACACAGGAAAATGTCACAATATTATGTAATACATGAAAATGCAGGAGAAAAACTATATATGAGAATCCTAATCATGTAAAAATATAAATAAAAGACTGGAAGGAAATGCACTGAAATGTTAACCACAGTGGTGATCTCTAGATTGCAGGATAATAATCTTAATTTGATACTTTAAACTTTTCTGAATTTACAAATTGTACATAATAATAGGCATTACCTCTATAACTAGAAATTACTTAAAAAGCATTTAATACCAGAAATGATTTTAAAAGTTTTTAATGAGAGAATGTGTATTTACACTAAAATCAGGCTTGCCTGACAAATCAAGGGTCCCCCTCTTGCAATATATTGTATGTTTCAGTGCAAACATTACTATATGGATAGAAATAAGGATTTTTTAGTCCAGTGTGCCCTTAACTATTTTCTATGACCCAGGAACTTTTTTTGTAGGAGAGATTAAACAAAACTACATGTCATGAATTAGGTGTTTATAAGAGAAAATGCACAGCTCAGTCTAACTTTTCAGCTTTGGATCAAATACCTTTCAACACCAAGAACAGGACACTTCAGTATCTTATTTCAGGGGCAATGTCAGTTGCTGTAGAACTGCCTTTGCTCTAATTTTTCTTTCTTTATTTAATTTTTGTTTGTTATTATTATTATTATTTGGCCAGAGAGAGAGAAAGGGAAAGTGGTAAAGTAAGCCGCCAGGTCTACGACTCGAACTGCAGTGAGCCAAGTGAGAGTCCAGCACCCCAAACGCCACACCACCTATAGGACCCTAATTTTTCTTGTTTAAGCATAAGATACAGATATTAGGTTATTTTTCTCTCTCATATACCTGCAATAGAAACCAGCAGCTGGGTTTACTTAGTCTTTCAGTATCAGCCTTTAGGACTTCCAAAATCCATGACCATGAAAAGAATAAAATCCAAATCAGAAAGAGCCTATCTAAACCATTCAGTACAAATTAATGATGCCCAGAGCAGGGGCCATAGCTCAACAGAATCGTGTATAACCCACAGCCTCAAGCTAAGTGCCAAGCAATTCTCATCCAAGGACTCAACCAAGAGATAAGGCAACCCAAGTGTGATTTAGACCCATGTGGTCAGATGCTCTTTTCCATAGCAACCACCCAGTAGTCCTGGTAGCAGTCAAGTGCCCATTTTCTCCTCATCATAACACAGTGCAATTAGACGCCAAACAAAGAACAGCTTGTACAGAAAGTCAACGATGATTTGCTTAAAACATGTAAAAACGAGAGAAGTGAAAAAAGAAAACCATGCTCCCTCGGATAAAAAAGATGCCTCCAGGGGATGGAGCGTAAATAAAAGACCAAAATCACTCTAAGAGAGAAAAGGAATGCCTGGACAAGCAATTTAAGGGACTCTGCAGCCTACCAAAATAATAAAACAAGTAACATTAAGATTTTATGCCAGAAGGCACATGTACATGAGAGAGAAAAAAACAAAGGAGGGAGGGATGGAGGGAGAAAGCACACCTCCGCCAGTGAGGCCTGATCAAGGCGCAATCCCCTTTCCTCCAATCCTCCAACCTATCAGAATCCTGGGAGCATACACGTGCACCCAGCATGTTTTTCCAGCCACCAGGACTGGGACTCGGTCAGTCATGAAGGGGCTGGCTTCCTCTGTACAGCACCTAACCAACGTGCTATGGGGCTAGCCCAGAAAACATTATGATTAAACATAAAAACAAAAGAGGGTGGGAAAAATAGCTTAAAACATAGCAATAGTTGAAATACAAAACAACTACCCATAAACCTTACATGCTTTAGATATTTTACTAGCCCTTTCTACAATGATCAATCCAAGAGCAATGATTTCACTGAGAGCAATAATACTGACAGCTTAAAAATTTCAGCATTAGAAATCAGATAATATTTTCAATTTTTCTTTTCAAAAGATTCTTACCAGGCCCCAGTTTTTTCTTAGGCTTGGCCTAAATGTTTTTGAGAGACAATGCTAATTAGTATGGCTGCCTCAAGAAAATGGAGAATACAGGAAAAGATGGCAAAATAGAAGATGTGCCCCAAGAGGTATCTTAAATATTCAAGTAAGTATTTGTTGAATGAAAATCAACTCCATTCAAAAACATACTCACTGTTTGAAGCTATGTCAATCAGAAGAGTTTCTTCTGCTTCTGAGGGAGGGAAAAAGAGAACAGGGTCAGGCAAGAGAAAATCATTCATAACCAGAAGATGTATATGCCTAACTAAGGAACTACTTATTTCGGACACTACTCCTTGGTCTTAGAGAATACATTAAAAAGTCCCTTTTTTGTTTGCTTGTTTAGCCCTTTTAAAAGGGACTTTAATAGCTCTAGAGTCTAAAGACTATGAGTAATTCAACTAAAAACATGAAGTGAACAAGTAACCAAATAGAACTCCTCAAAGCAAATCAAGGAATGGCAAATTAATAGCAGAGAACATAAGAACATATTAATTCAAGTAAAGGCAAATTTAATTTCCCTCAACTATAACATTCTGATCTAATATAATCTGTATCCTTTAGATACTTCTTACGGAAAGCCAAGGAAGTAACCTGAAAGCCCTGACATGAGTTAACTTTCACAACTCAGATCTAGTCTGGAAATTGTCCAGTGGTCTCATTCCCTCTGTTTCTGTCCCTTCCTCTGAATACAAGCAGGGTAAATACACGGAGTTCTTTGCCTTCAGGTTACAATAATTGTGGGCCTAAGTCCTACCACACCCAACAAGAAGTATAAAACAGCACAAAACAGTCTGCAACTTCAGAGTTCTCTTTTTCTCTGGATGGCTCTCCCAGACGTCCATTCTTACCTCCAGTGTCTAGGCCCAACCTATCGCTTCCTCTCTGACTTCTCTGGATTTGACCAGAGCCTCCTGGCCAATTGCTCTCAGGGTACTGAATCCTTGGGATTAACCTGTATCTACTTTAGTCAGATAGCTTAGTCTTGGCCTTTTCTAGTTCTCTCAAAAGGCTGAATTGTATATAAAAGGACTTTTAAAAGTTCATGGGAAAACAGAATTGAAGAATGAATTTTTTTTGAAATCTCTACATAGTGTTTTCATAATAAGCATTTTTCATGAGCTTTTTGAAGATCCATCATATTTGGTTCCATTATTCAGGTATGACAGAAATGGAAACTATTAGAAAATAGTCTTGAGGCCAGCATCAGCTGGATTCCTACATGGCCAACCGTGGTTCAAGTCCTGGAGCCAGTAGCTTGAAAATCACAACAAACAAACAAACAAATATTTGAAGAAAATAGTCTCAATACCATTACAAGTAAGGGAAAATATGACATCAGGAGATAGGTAGTACGTTTTCACCACTGCTCTTTACTAATTTCTAGTTTGGCAAAATTTGATTTTTTGGTTTATATTTTATTTCTATTTTTAAAAAGAAATATGAGTTATTTAGGGATATAAGAGACAAAATACATGATTTTGGGGGGGGGAGAGGTTTTTGCTATAGAGCGCGTGTGCTTGCCAGAAAGACAGAGAGAGACAGAGAGACAGAAAGTGAGAAATCACCCCCCAGGGGGGATGGCCACGCCGCAATCCCTCCTCCTCCATTCTCCTCTTGGGATCTTGCACACACATGTGCTGACATGAGTTTAAGCCACCGGGTCCGAGACTCAAACCGCGGTTGACTACATGGGAGTCCAGTGGCATAGCCATTACGCCAACTGCTGGTCCCCATTTTTTTTTAAGAAATAAATTTTCTTTTTAAAATTATTTATTTATTCTTTCATTCATTTTAACTTGACCAGAGAAAGACAGAGAGAGAGAGAGAGAGAGAGAGAGAGAGAGAGAGAGAGAGAGAGCGAGAGAGAGAGAGAGAGAGAGAGAGAGAGAGAAAGTGAGAAAGAAAGCCACCAGGTCTGGGACTTGAACTGCGGTCAGTCATGTGGGAGTATCCAGCTCCTTAACCACCACACCACCCACGGGTCCCCAAAAATACATGGTTATTAAACCACAGATGTAGTCCTAGAATTTTACAAAATGTCAAAACTGTAGTATATATTGCCACATCTACAAACCACAAAATGCTCAAAACATCAATTTTCAAACTACATGCACAGGTTGGGAAATAGAAAGGAGGTGACAACACAGGGACATAACTCCTTTGATCAAGGTGAACTATGGTGTGTCCATGCACATACTTTCCCAGATGTCAAGGAGCAGCATTGCAATCTAACAACTGGCTATGTCTTTTTAAAAACAATACTAAGAGAAACAAGGTAAAGGAGACCCTAGATGTAGTACCAGAAAGGTACAAAGCTAACAGGAGACTAATCTGGTCATGCTCTTTGGCTTTTTCTCTCCTGTAAGGGTTTATATCTTGAAAAGTGAGGTGAATGCAGCATACAATGGCATGCAGGTACCTTGTTTCTTATGTCTCTTTCACGCAGAGAAGATGTAATAGCTACGACTTCATTATTCTATGCGATATAGACAATATTCATTGAAAGTAGTCCTAACTTTTTATAAAATTCATGGTGGGGAGCAAGAAGCATTCTCTACAGGTCTTGGTCACACTACAATGCCCTTCCTCTAGTCCACCACAATCTTAGGCACACACATGTGTTATTTTCAGGCCAAATGGGCTGGGGACTCAAACCATGGTCAACATGTAGCTTCCAACTTCACAATCTGGGGCACTACCAACTGTACCACAGATGTTTGGGCCTATTTTTAATTCTTAATACACGCTGCCTTAAAAAGTCATAACTACTGGGGCCAGCAGGTGGCATGGTGATTAAGGCATTGGATTCCCACATGGCTGACTGCAGTTCAAGTCCCAGACCCAGCAGCTTGAAAATCACACTGGGCAAATGTATGTGTGCCCAAAATCCCAAGAGGAGAATGGAGGAGAAATTATGACATGGCCATACTTCCGGTAGGTGATTTTTTTTTGGAGAGGATTTGCTACAGGGCAGAGAGAGAGAAAGAGACAGAGAGAAAGCGAGAAATCACACTCGGGGGGGAGATGGCCATGCCGCAATTCCTTCTCCTCCATTCTCCTCTTGCGATCTTCGGCATGCATGCACACGCACCTGGCGTGAGTTTAAGCCACTGGGTCCGGGACTCGAACTGTGGTCGACTATGTGGGAGTCCAGCAACATAGCCATTACACTAACTGCTGTCCCAACCGGTGGGTGATTTATTTTCCCTCTGTCTCTCACTCACTCTCTCTCCAGCAAGTACACACATCCTATGGCAAAAACCTAATTAAACAAAAAAGTCATACCCATTTAGTATTTTTCACTTACAGAAATAAATATTGAGGAAATAAGAGATGTGCAGGAAGATTTATGTACAGAGATGTTCATCACATTACCACAGGAGAATTACTACATTAAGGATCATTTATAAAATGCAGTAGTATACAGCTGTTAACAGCATGGAAAAGTTGTCATAATATGATAGCATGTAGAACAGATAAAAAATTGTATAGGATGAGTCCTGCCTACCCTGAAAACTGTATGTATATATATATTTTAAAATACGTTAATTAGGCATTTTTCTCTGAAGGATGGCACCTTAGGTGACTTATTTTCATTATGCTTTTCTATTTTTTCTAAACTTTTTACATTATGTATATGTTACTTAAAATTAAAAAGTTCAATGTAGGGGCCACGAGGTGGAGTGGTGGTTAAGGCACTGGACTCCCACATGGCCAACTGTGGTTCGAGTCCTAGACCTAGCAGCTTGCTTTCTCTCTTTCTCTCTCTCAGGTGAGAGCACATGCCCTATAGCAAATTAAGAAATAATAATAATTAATAAATTTAAATAAATAATTCTTTAAACAAAAAATTTCAATGTAGGGACCTGCAGGTAGCGTGGTGTTTAAGGCACTAGACTCCCATATGGCGCATCACTGGACTCTCATATGGCTGACCACAGTTCTAGTCCCAGACCTAGTGGCTTGCTTTCTCATTTTCTCTTTCTCTCTCTCTCTCTCTGCTGAGCACGTGTGCCCTATAGCAAATTAAAAAATAATAACAATAAACAAAATTAAATAAATAATTCTTTAAAAGTTCAATATAGTTTAAGAATGAATCCATGCAAAATAAGATTCAAGTATTCCAAGAAGCTATACACAGAATGTTTCTGCCTGATGAAACCACTGGACCCACTGGAAAACGAATATATTTGTTCTCTAGTAATCAATTTCCTTTTTAGAGATGACAGAAGTAACACCTCCTACACAAACCTCAAACCTCCTTTTGAGTTTCATTGTAGCAGATGAAACAACAGATTTCCTATGCTCAGTCCCCAAATTTGAGGGCAGGAAGCCAAATATTTCCTCCCCAGAGTTGATTTTCTTCTGGTTTGCCTATGTCAAGGTTTGAGGATCTGCACAACTGAGTGGAAGGTATTATGATCTGACAAGGCGTGCTGCCAAGTGCCCTAATTTCAAATGGTGTGGGGAGAAAGTGCTGAATGTGTGTGAATCCAAGAGACCTTAATTCTTTATAATGAGCAGTGTGTCTGTTAAACCCCCAAATGTTACTAAAATCCACATATAAAAGACCACCTACAGAGATAATAGACTACATACACCTCTAACCTCAGTCAGTGAAACAGGTGAGATTATAATATATATATATATTATAGGAAACTGATTACCAGCAAACAAATAAATTCTTTTTTTTTTTTTTTGAGAGGTTTTGCTATATGGTGCGTGCGCTTGCCAGAAAGATAGACAGAAACAGAGACACAGAAAGTGAGAAATCACCCACTCCCCGGGGAGGATGACCATGCCCCAATCCCTTCTCCTCCATTCTCCTCTCGGGATCTCAGGCACACACGCACACGCGCCCGGCGTGAGTTCAAGCCACCAGGTCCGGGACTTAAACTGTGGTCGACTACATGGGAGGCCAGTGATACAGCCATTATGCCAACTGCTGGTCCCGCAAACAAATTTTTTTTTCCTTTTTCCAATGGACCCAGTGTTTTCATCAGGGGTGTGTGTGTGTGTGTGTGTGTGTGTGTGTGTGTATCATACATATTTATGATATACATACACAATACACATACATACAATATATATCACACATGTATTTCTGTATAATCCTGTAGCACTCTTAGACAAAACGTTTGTTATCTTCTCATGATGATTATTAATGTCATCTTTTTATGCAAAGAGTAATACATTTCATTTTATATGCAGTGACAAATTTAAAAATGCATGGTACTACACAATGCAATAACGACTGAGGGAGAACATTATAAAACCAGCTAAGCAATTAAAGCTAGTACCTTGAACACATCTGAAATGTCTATTTATAGGAATGATGTCTTGAACATGCTGTTCCTTCTCATACAACTGGATTATTAACCTAGGAAACAGAAAAATGCATCAATCAATAGCTACTGAAAAACTCAAATGTTCGGCAAGAAAATAGTTCACTGTCTTGTTACACAAATCTAGTCTGGATTTATTAAATTTGTTGCAGTGGGGGCCGGTAGGTGGCGTGGTGGTTAAGATGCTGGACTCCCACATGGTTGACCACAGTTTGGGTCCCAGACCTGGCAGCTTGCTTTCTCACTTTCCCTTCTTCTCTCTTTCCGGCTGTCTCTCTCTGGTCGAATTAAAAAATAACAACAACAAATAAAATTATATA